TGTTACGCTTTGCACAAGTAATAGTAGTTAACCTGATCTAATATTCATGAACTCAAGGTAAATCACAACCGCATAAATTCTTTGCTAAAAAACATGTAATTTGGTTATTTTTCTATTCCTTATTTCTGACTAAATTCATTACTATTTTCTCATTTAGAATGCAACAGGAGTGAGCCTTTACAGATCCTAAGAACTGTTTCGCCCTTAGAACTATGACCCTATGAAACTGTTTACGGAAGACCCAACTAACAACAGATTATAAAAAGGATGCTGGATGTCCATTTTAGTCTCACAACCACTTTCAGTACTTTTTGAGTTACTTCTTTTACCCTTTCGTCTGGAAAAAAACAACAAAGACTGCAGTTTAACATTACCAGTGCAACTTTTAAACAGGGACTTCTTTTAAACCTATGTTTGATATTCGATTCTTAATGAAAGTTACTGAATAAATTTTTAAATCTAATGCTACTTTGTTTCATCTACTTAATCGTTGCAAGAAACTTGTGATATACGAGCCCCTCAGCATCTAGTTCATATGTAGTAAATTTAAGTGAGTTAGTACATATCTTCGTCTTTTTCTTGGGAAACCTACAGACTCGGGTCTTCTCATAACTTATTCTAACCACCATGAGTTGTCACGGCAGCTGATGGATGTACACGCGTTACACATTCTAACCGTATATGCGTCTAGTCTTATAGCTCCCTATTCAAATGCCATATGATAAGCAAGCAATGCTGCATATTGCAATTTTATTTTTCAGAAGTAAGATATAACGGTTAGAATTGTAGTAAAATGGCAGTATACAGCAGATGCACGTGGTACATGTCTTCATCGATTAACTGAAATAGAGAATACGGATATTAGCTCAACAGGCTTATTTAGAAAGACTATTGTCTACTTTGAACTTACTGCGTGAGAAAGTTATACTGGAACTACGAATAATGTAGGAATCTAGTCTCCCAAGGCGTACGAAGCACTCAAACTGGAAGACAGTTGTCCAAAAATAATTCAGATATGAAGGTGAAAATTTGCAGGTACTTTTCATTGTAAGGGTGAACATAGTAGATACCGATTGACATCATACCGTAAAAAAACACAAATTTGCGAGTGGTGAAATATGATCTATAAAAAAGTGAGCTTAATAACATTTAATTACCTTTTTACTCCCTGATTATGACCCTTGGGCTTCCTCTTATGGTCAAAACGGCAAACATACACTACACACTGATATCAGATTTCCGGCTTTTCAATGCTAAGCTTGCTATAACGCACGACATAATGAGTACAACCCCTCTATTACTGCTATATGACATATTTTTCATAACAAACCCTCTGCAATAGATTGGTAGCATCTGTGACTTCATCTATGGTTATCGGAAGTCTGTGTCCTTTCGAAAACAATACTGATATCCCCTACTGCTGGACACTCAGTATTAGTTTGACTCGTTGGTGGGATAGTGCTGTCCATAATACTGAAGAAAATTGAGAGCCGGAGATTGTTTTCCTTCATTTTGCCGATAACATCATAAAGGACAGTTAAGAACGAACATGTAGACAGTTAGTCACAGGCGGCAGCAACAATTATTTTAGCTAAAAAACGAGCTTCGACTTTGGATATCTAGAAAACAAGTTAAAACAAAACCGATAAGGATAGCCAGCTTGGCTGAAGAAATACATTGACTTCAGTAGCAGCAGCCAAAACCCAGAAAACAAAGCAAAATGAGGAAAAATTTTGCTCCAACATGCAGAGTATTAGATTAACCTCTGCATTTTACCACACTGAAACAATAAATTCTGTAGCTACACAAAAGAAATAGCTGAAAAAAGCATAGAACGAAGAAAGCCGACCTCCATCGCTTACAAAGATAGAGGAAATAATAATTCCCGCCTCCTTCTGATTGGTTGCTAAGCTGAAGGTTACATTTACGAAATTGAGTTGCGTTTAATAGCAGCCATTCTCGATATATTGATAGCCTATCAAATATATCTTCGAACCTGCTCGCCTCTGTCTTTTGATTTCACTTGGTTGGTATGATTCATAGTAGGTGTTACTGGTTAAAGCGTTGTCAAACTCCAAATATCTGTGGCATCTCCACTCTCTACATATTTATAGGTGGTACTAGTAGCGTCCCAGCCCCGCTCACTAGAGGAAGAGGTCTAAGTTTGGAATTGGGAAGTATATTCCGCAAAAGCCAGAAAACGAGTAATAAGAACAGACACAAATTCATTCGTATATATACAACACAAAACCGTCCCTGGGGAGTTACAGAATAGTATACTAGAAGGCAGGACGGACCAATGGCATTTAAGATTCTCCCAAGTGGGAAATATGACATGAAGGTGAAAAGAGCGCCTTTGGAGCGAAAACAAAGAAATTCAAATTTTCCAGATAAAACTATAAAATTAGGTCCTTTTCCAGGTGAATTCTGGCGATCTAACGTCCCCAACAAAGGCACACAGAAGGTGTTATCCTAAAGGGGAGGCCAGATGTAACTGGTTAAAAACCCCGTGGTATTACTGAACCGAACCAAGAGTTCAACTGGCCCCATTAAGGACCTAGCTTTGTAGAATAAGTTTAAACATGAGTGGGTCGCAACAACGAACTGGTCAGTAAACATAGGGTCGTCAGTTGAAGAAAATGGTCCGTATTCAAGGGCAAGCATAGCTTAAGTAAGTTCTCATTTATTTTATGCTTAGTAGTACGTAGAACAAATAACTGTGAATAGCACATATCCATTTATTATGAGTCTGTAAACACTTGTAGAGCGTTAGTAAGTAAGGCTGGACTTTCATTTGAGAATCATGTAGCGTGGCGTCCAGTTGAGGTTAACTATGAACATCGCTACCGAGAAACACGTGCCAAACAAATCAGAAAGTGAAGATCGAACGTAACCAGGTTTATTTCGGTTGGCGATCTCGTGGTATTGAACGAATACCGAGATTGTGCCAAGGAATGGTACAAGTGGAAGCAGAAGACAGGAGTACGTGCGAACAGTACCAAAAACCGCGGAATAATAATGGAAGGTAATGGAAGCACGAAAATGGCTATAATTAGCACAGTTAAACAAAAGCACATTAAAACAAACACTGGTACAGTTGGTTCTAATAATAATTGTTTTTATTAAACCAGTCGTGTTCTCGTGATAAATGTGAGTCACTACAAGCGATTGGTTAGGGATTGTGAAAATAGCCCAAAAAGACTAGTTTTGCTTATAAAGAGGCAAACTCAGACAAGTAATGGGATCTCATCGCTTACGATACATGAAAATTCGTTGATATTTGCAAGAAGAGATGTTGCAAAAGATGAAGCTTTATCAGAATATCTCAGCAAAATGTTTTCTGCCGACGATGGTGAGAGATCAGCACTCAATTATAATGGCGCTTTGTCGATGGACCTTGTGTCTATTGAGGGAGAAAATGTCTTACTATTACTTCATGATATGGAACCAGATGAGTTCAGGAGTCCTGACGATATTCACCCTAGGATAATGAAAGGACTAGCGGACGTAATTGTTGAACCCTTGGCAATAGTGTTTGTTTGGCAGTTCCGGTTTCCAAAGCGCGAAGTAGAGACTTAGGAACCATCGACCCGTTAGTCTAGCCAGTGTAGGTTTTAAAACAACAGAAAAGGTTATTGGGATGGCTGTCCTAAATTATATGGAAGGGAATAATCTCTAAGACAGGGAACATGGTGTTTGAGAATGGGTCTTTCATGCTTGACAGACGTCATCATAAGGAGAGATTGGGATTGGAGCGGAAGATAGTAATATCTTGGTAGATGTAACTTTCATAGATCTAAGTAAAGCCTCTGACAAGGCCTAGCACCTGGGTCTTAAATCAAAACTGGGATGTTTTTGAATTCATTATGAAATCATAAACTGGATAAGTGACTTTCTTAATGATTGGAAACAACAGGCACAGGTGAATGGAACACTGTCAGTGTGATGCTCTGTGAAAAGTCGAGTTCCTCAAGATACAAGCCTTGGTCCTATTTCCTCTTTACTTTATGTAAATGACTTAATAAGTGTAGTAGTTATCCGTCCTACTTTTTGCAGATGACATAAAATTTTAGGCATCCATACACAGTATGTCATACAGAACAATATTACAGGATGACTCAAACCCAATGATTGAACGGATGTGTAGGTTGTCACTAGAACTGAACTCTAACAAGAGTGCGATGAGGCAAATAAACAACTGCGAAGACTCACTACACAGTTTGTGGAGTTGTGTTAACCAAAATAATGGACTTTAGTGATCTTAGAGTCGCAACAAGTAAAGACCTTGAAACTGCTGGCAACTGCAATGTTACTTCTGATAAATGTTTCAGGATCTCACGGACCATTCGTAAATCATTTTATTATATGGACGAAGAAATATTTAGGGTATTATACATGACTTTAGTGAGGCCGCAGTTGAAGTATGGTATCTAAAAGGCGATTCCTTGCTTCAAATGTGAAGCGAATATGCAGAAACGAGTCTAAGAGCAATCAACCAAAACGGCGAAAAGTCTCGCTGGCCCACCTTATGAAGACAGACTGAGACGCCTCAACCTATTCCCATTGTCCTACCGCGGGTTACATGATGATCAAATACTGGTTAACCGTACACTGGACAACGATCTTGGTATTAGTAAGCCTCATTTTCTTCCTCCAATCTCTCACTGATTATCTGAGAGCACATTCTAAGGAAGTTCACAAACCGAGGTCAAATCGTTTACGTCTGGAGTTCCGCTTCTCTCACTGAGCAGTAAATTACTGGAAATATTCACTAGAACACATAATATCGGCAACTGATGATGCATTAAAAGTGAGGTTGGATCTTCGCGGCATCATGAATTGCGAGGATTAATAGGGATCGATTAACCTTCTATCCTAATTACTGAAGACTGAAATGTTGAACGTATTGCTTATAGGCGCGCAAGCGTTTCAGGGTCGAAAACTGGCGTTAATTTCTCTAGTGACCCAAGGAAGTAGTTATTATATCAGTTTTCCTTCAAATCTGGAAGTGTTGGGAGGTGGGGTAAGCATTGTTGAAGTTTAGGGAGTCTTGAATAACTGGTTCGATTACAATGAAAGGCCAGTTGTTATTGTTCGATATCTTGGTAATTAGATCTAACGATCACTATACTAATATGCATATCCTAAATTGAACTCAGATTTGTTTTGTGTTTATATTATCAAGGACTTACATTAGTTTTTATATGCCCCACTTCGGTATGTATTCTTTCATCCGAATGCTCAGGTATCCCTGAGCAAGTTATCGATAACTTACCGATCGGTAAGTTTTTTGTAATAAGTTTTATGGGACGATCAAAATTTCGGGTGATTAAACGCTTATGAAACTAGGCCAGTCATTATGTAAAACGTAGAGCTAACTGCAGGGAAAACGCGGAGTTATTTAACAATTAGTGTTACTTCAGATCACCTTTTTAATCCAAGATCAAGGATTATATTGAGTACGAAATATTTATATTTTCTTGACTTTTCAGTTAGCCTACTATGTCCTGTAAGCTATTTTGTCTATTCCGAGGGAAAAGTGTATTGAGTTGAAGGTTTTCTGGCATCCTGAGTACTACCATGAAGTCTGGTGAAACTGTAATTAATGGACGACATTTGGGCAACGCTAAAAAGTCCTTGAGAATGTCCACGTACATACTACGGCTAAATCAGGATTGTAAACCAGTATGAGGTGTTAAGATTAATATTTACAGTTGATAGTTAGGGTTAGGAATTAGATTTCAAGTTTTAATCACTTACTGACATCAGCTATAATGCCAAAACTCTATTTAACCAAATGGATGAACTTGCGCCAAAATTCGAAACATGTTGTCCTAAATCTGGTTCGTCCATAAATTATACTCTCGCCTGAAGTTTTATAGTTTTTGATAGAGCTACTTAATTTTCGAACTAATTCATTCCTCATTAATATCGTCACGGGAATCACACATAGCAGTTCTCTAAATACGTGTCGGGAGTTTCCAGTTTACTTTGAAACAGTTTTGGCCTACACACTTTTCATATTTTAGATCTTACCAGTGCCGTACATGTTAGTATTTTTTGTAAAAGTGCCTTTAGAGGCTCATAGCGTCATACTACTTGTAAATTCAACAAAACAGTGGAGGTTCATAGCATTTTAGCTGTATCTTACATCAAGTCCTTAGTCGTTGTGAGTATAAACTAAATGCTGAGCTAATCGCCAATTTCGAAGTAACATGTACTACTGCCTGTCATTTATTGATTGCTTAAACGATTAAAGGAACTTTTTGTTGTCTACCAAATGATAACTTCTTCAATCACTGAGACATCAAAAATATAACGTTCAGCCTTTGGTAGGTTTTCGTATAGCCTAAAGGTACCTGGGGGAGTGTGAAGAGCATTATGTGAGGTTATTTGGAAGAGAAAAGAGTAGTCGGCAACTCAGTAAGCACATAGAATGCACTTACATTTAATAACGAAGGCAATAGACAACAATAAAAAACAACACGAGGGTAAGATTAAGACAATCTGGTAGTCGAAGCTAAGAGTTGATAGTTTACGGTTCCAAACACTTTACACATATTCTTATCAAATTAGTCAGACAGTCGATATAAACAAAATCATCTAAATGTACGTTCGGAATTAATTAAAGCAAGAGGCATGATCTGTCAAGCGTTCTTGAGCAGTGTTATTATTCTGCTTAAAGTGGACATTTTGGTCAGCTCAGGCCTTTGGATAGAATATGAAACTTATATTTGTAATTTGACTTGTGATAGCTGAGTTCACCATAATTTCGGGTCCTCTGTTTAGAGTGATCCTATTTATTCGTACTAGATTAGTTTTATTCGAGGAGCAACTTGTAGTCATAATTTCGTTAAATTACAGTATTAATAACCTAATATGCAACCAGCTGTTGTCTTGTGATATCTGTTATATCACAGATTACATGTGTAATATAAACTGTTCAACGGCCTCAGTCAAATCAACTTTCGAGTAAACTCATTCCGATACCTTAGTAGTCGATTGACCCGTCATGTTATGATGCATGCTAAATAAATATCCTGAAGTTTTCTACATATACAGTAGCTGGTTGGTTTTCATTGCCTTATTAAAAGTAATAACATTAAACAATTTAACAGGTTCGCCATTTTGTAGTCAGTAAAACATGTGCATATAATCAAACATAAATACATTAAAAATATTTTAAAAAAAAACTACAAGTGGATAAACCAGGCAAATAAAGATAATTACATGCTGAATTCCATTTACATCGGTGAGAGTTTTTAATTAAATACTAGTATTAAGCGTTCTTAAGACTTTGTGTTCTAATTGTAGAGGGTTGTAATTCTCTTTTATTCCTATTCATTTTAGCACTAGAAATGACGGATGTAGTAGAAGCTCGAAGATGTTTTGGATGTCGTGTTATTTTCGAGACAGATGACGAATTTTGGCATCATATATTAAATGTGGATTGTAGTAGCTCTATAAGCTCACCGAGTTTGGGGAAAGATGTATCCTTACCTTGTTCAAGCCAAGACGATAATAGACCATTGAAAAGTACACCGTCAGATGATTTATGTTTTTGTAGTTTGTGTGACAAGTGGTTTGTATCAAAGGCACAGTTCCTTGAACATTTTTCTTCTGCAGAACATGAGCAGAAATCCAAATCGGCTGCCAAAGTTCGTTTTAGTTCCGATGTCAATACAGGTAGCGAGAATGTTCAGTCACACTTGTTTTGCGATACTTGTCAAATAAGTTTGTCGTCTGCTCAGGCCAAAGAGGCTCATCTTGCTGGTAAGAAGCATAATAAGATGTGTAATCGTCAATCGAGCTCCGTAAACACACAAGGGGATTCGCATGTTACTCTCAAAAAGGGGCACACAAACAATCAAGAAGTTTTAGAAAGGTTGGTGGGAGATTACGGTCAGTTATCGTCAACGAGTTCTGACAACTCTCATTCATCTGATAAAAATACCAGTCATGTCGTTCCTCAGTTTCGTACTGACGACGAGAACGATATTATACGTTTACTGCGTCGACTCTGTTTGACCCAAATACTATCACTTTTATTGAGTGTAAGTGAGGATTCATCGGTACACGTAGAAGGCAGTTGTAACAAGGTACAGTCGAAATATTCTTTGAAAGAGAAAGATCTACTTGAATTGACGAGAACAATATGTAAAGAAGAATTACGCGCTATACTCCCACAGTCTTTACAACACATCATTTCTCAGACAAAAAACGCAGGTGACTAAATTTGCTGTAGGTTATTCTTATTGATGTTAATTTCATTACAATCGCTCATCTTATCCATAATTTTTACAAAGAAAGAAGTACTTGCTTTCTAGGAAATATATTTTCTCTACCATTTTTAGAAGCTTCCGTTTTTCCATCAAATTCAGAAATTATTTTTATTTGTATTTAAAGTATTTCAGATTTCAATTAATCGAATTCTACGTTCACTTCTTGTTACTAATTATTTATTTCCATTTTTATCTTTCATATTCTTGTTTAAAGTATTGGGTTTGCGATCAGTTGACTCGACAGCGTTTTTGTGGAAATGAAAATGAGGAGACATAGTTTAGGGATGAGGACTACCTGTTGATATATGGTAATTGTATTTTCAGCAGTTGTTCACGATATAAGGACTCATTTTGAAAATCCTTAAGTGCTTGGTGATCAGATTTTCTCTGTAACTGTAAGTTAGAGACTCATAATAAATGCATTTCAACTTTGCTTGGCGGGACTGCTTTCATGTGCGATAATAAAATGCATATGGGATTACAAACGAAAAGGATAGGAACGGTTATTTCTCGTCCTCATCCTATGGTATTTAAACATTGGAATTAAAAGTAAAGTTTAATGAATTTTAAAACACTCAATGTGATAGATGAAGACTGTCTGTGTATTCAGTCATGATTCAGAAAGAGTTATGACATATTAATGTACTGTAAATAGATACCTTGTTTGGTATAAATTCGTGCAAATTTTTATAAAGCGTTTGGAGTGAAAAAAATTGATGTATTCAAGTCAATGGATATCAACAATTTAAAAATACACTATAAAATGGTTCAAAGTTGATTGCATACAGACTATCTCAGAAACCTAGCAATGAGTAGGGAATATGCAAATTTATTAAAGTGAAATATCATTAGTTACTTTGGTTTCGTGCAATTATGACATCTTGTGATTACGGATTTAATGATCCTTACTGAAGGTCAGCCAGTTTGGGGAGTTGTCACAAGCGATTTATTAATATATACACCCTGGATTTCTGTTCAGTATATTTATTTTACATAACTAGTCTGATTGATCCCTATTGTATTTTTAATCGCATTTTAGAGTACATCAATGTTTTCGTGTGGCTTTATTTTTTAACTAGTTTGACAGGAAATTTCAGTAATTTGACAGGTTTGACAAGATTTCGCTAACTTGCATGACGTGTATTACAATCTGAATTATCTAGTATATTAAAGGACTATTAAATGCCTAGTAGCTTGCTAAAAAATGCTGTGTCGAAAATAAGGTTTGGTTGAATAATAGTACGCACCTAGACTAAAGATTTCAATCGAAACTTTTTTCTCTGTCGTGCTAAATTAAACCAAGGAAATATCCGAGAAAAATGTGAGTTCTTGAACTTACTGCTAATCAGACTAATGGGATATGGTGTATGATAAGTCAGTAACTAAATATCAATTTACCCAGTTTTTTTTATAACGTTGATCTATATAATAGGACATGGTACTAGGTACTTCTGAGATTGTAGGAAAACGCATTGTGAACCTGGGGAAGGGTCATATCAGTTAACGATCATGATCACCATAGGACTTGATATGAGTGCATGCCAGTTCAAGTTGAGCGAACTCCAGTAAGAAATCTTCCATTTCTTGGTGCTGTCCAGAACAACAGTTAATGACTTGATCCTCTATCCTGATCATTCTGTTCCTAAGTTATCCCCAACTATTCCCTTATCGGATAGTATTGTATATTAAAGTAAACAATAGTATATTTACAGATTGGTGTACTATGTTGAGAATCGCAACCTCAATAATAGATTTGCTATCTCTGCCTAGCACTCTACACTGGACTTCAGGTTTGCTCCCTCAGTATTTCCACCATAAGCGGACGGTGCTGTAAAGACATAGTTGAATACTTAAAACCTACTCGTGTATTCTACTCTCATAGGTCATATTTTGTCATCGTAAAGCAATGCGACAGTGTTGCTTGGTATTTCTACCTCCTGATTAGATGAACACCACACCGACGTGGGTGGTGCGACTTAATAGAAAACAAGCGGGAGGGTTGTATATGTGCCAAAATTTTTACCAGTCACAGACTGATTAGGGCTGGTGAGACTTCTAGTACGGATGTACAAATCAATAGGAACGACGCGCTGATATGTGAAACGCAGATATATGGTGAACTGCCATTGATTCTAAATAAATCCAAATAGTACGGAAGCGTCTCAACTGTCATAGATATAATACTATCAATACAAATACAGTGAGAATAATGAGTTAATGACCCTCAATTACAACAAAAGCTGAAGAATAGCCAAGCCAAACAATTTTTTTAGTTCTAAATAATATAAAGAAATAAAACCGATCCCGATAAGTCTAGAACTTCGACAAAACACAATAAAGAACTCTAATTCGAAATACATAGTATGATATTGTATTATTATGATAAGTTTGAACACAATATGAAATATTTAGCTGTACAGTAGATGCATTAGTCGTTCGCCACAAAAACAACTTAAGCAAGTGTTCCTTATAGTCTGAAGACAGGACTAAGTTTCATGATTATTGGGGTCGTTCGTAGAAAGAGTAACCAGTCAAAACGGTAAGAAGCAAACATTCATAATAATGTCAATGACTCATGGGGAAATATGTCAATTACAAGTAAGAAAGGTGAGTCACTGCTTTGGAAGACGTTGATTTATATAATACACAATACAAGTATACTAACAATACAGTATGGAATATCTTATAACTGATACACTTGAGGGTACTACCTAGCAAAGTGAACACAAACCCACCAATAAAATTGGCTGTTAACTCCCTTGGAGTAAATGCAGATGCATCTATCACTTTGCATTTCCGAGCTTTTGCGTCATTGTATTAACGGTGCATCGGCTAAGATTTCATGGCTTTCTTGCTTTTTTTACAGATCTTTATAATTACTAGAAACAATTACATTGAACGCAGGGTATCATGTTATGGGCATAATGAAGGTTTTTTAGTAAATATTCATGCTCAACAATAAGTTGTATTTTCTCAAATATCGTGGCAGTTTTATTCATTGGTTGGTTATTATCTTTGATACTAACGTTCCACACGATTGAACTTCACCGTTCATATCTGGCTTCAACTAATATCCTCAGCCGATGCCAATATTACTTATCATACAAAAATAGTACGTCCATTTTTAGTTGTTGGAATCGATCGTAAGATGTTAGACTACTAAATCAGTTTGTATTACGGTTAATTATACATATAACTCCTTGGTAATTTTAGGTGGTGTTTTTTGTCAACTATGTTTACCATATGCTAATTAAGTAAAACTGGAGCACCCAGATAAGCAGGAGAAGCTGGCATAATATGAGGGTAGCGGAGATTCATGAAACAAAATGCTGGAATCTGTCATGGATTCTTGCTATATACATTATTTTTATACTCGATGACTAAGGACAAATAAATCAAGTAACAACTAGAACAGAAATGTTACTGAATATATACTCAAGTAATTGAATTAACCAGCGTGATAGGACTAAGTGGGCACACGTAGACCTAAGTAATAGTAGTATTAGAATAAGACCAGAGTTAGACCTTTTGTAATTGGATTGGATTAATATTGACACTGACAATAGGATATCCAGCAATTGCATCGTAGTAAAATAGATTAAGAATTGCATTAGGTTGGTTCGACCTATATTGTATTGGAATGGAGTCAAACTGTCCATAGTGTCAATTAATCAGCGTGTCTTAAGTATTTATACATCAATATAACAGTGGAATATAATTAACAGATTGGTAGATGGGTGACCAAACAGGAATATTCGAGCGATTCACATAAAAGGTATTCCAATTAATCAGACAACTGAGCACAAGTTAATCAACATAACAGAATTAATGCATTCGAGGCACATGCCCAATCAGATATCTTATTCCAAAACGGACAAACAATTATTCCTATTCAAAGTGTCTGTTAAATACCAAACTTCTAAAAATGAATGATGATATGAAGTGTTCTTTTCGTACATAATTAGCATTACTAGGATATACCTATTTGTAACAGTCTGCCACGTATTAGACTGCGACTGCATTCGTAGACTATTACTTGTGAATATTTCATTGTTATTTGCAGGATACGAAAATTTACTCTAACCAAAAAGACATATTGAGTAAGTATTTGATCGTTCTAACCAGAAATCATGGTGGAAAGCTGCGAGGGCTTCTACGGGTGAACTCGAGGTAGCTCGAAAAGAGCCAGAGACACTTCATTCAGCTGATACATATGTGTGGTGTTTGAATGGACTAATGATACATTTGTACTTGTTGAATGTGTAGCGTGGCGTCGAGTTGAGGTTAACTATGAACACCGCTACAAAGAAACACGTGCCAAATAGATCAGAAGGCGTAAGAAGCTCGTTCCAAATGACTCCATAAAATCCCCGAGAAGCCGAATACCAGAAGGCAATTAATGGACCAAGTCGAGTTATATTTGCTGGCGATCTCGTGGCATCGAAAGGATACCGAGATCGTGCCAGGATACAACCTTGGTTACAGAAGGTAACCGAATTCGCGCGAAGTTACAATCGAAGTGTAAGTAAAGAATGGAAGCACAAAATAGCTGTCATTAGCACAGTCAAACAAAAGCACATTAAAACAAACACTGGTACAGTTGGTTATAATAATAATTGTTTCTATTAAACCAGTCGTGTTCTCGTGATAAATGTGAGTCACTACAGGAGCCCCCCGCTAGAAAGGGTTTACACTTTCGATAAATAGCGGTTTGAATCGTGGGACTGATCGGCTGACGAGCGATTGTAGGACGGAAGAATTGGCGAACAGGAAAGCGATCGTTGATCGTCGAGTTGCCAACGAAGGTCGTTTTCGGAGAACGGTACCAGGAGCGATGTGCTGTATTTGTTGCTTGAGTTGGCATGCTACACCAGAGTGGTTTGTATCCAGAATCTGAAGATGGCGTTCGTAGGGGTCCGGACCAGAAACGCTGCAGACGTAGGACGAAACCA